GTCGACGTGTGTTCCGGTCCCAGCGCCTTCTCGTAGCCTCGCAGGGCCCGCTCGTACATGGCCTCGGCGTCGCCGAGACGGCCCTGATCTACATAGATGTTGCCGAGATTGTTGACCGTGTCTACCGTCGACGTGTGTTCCGGCCCCAGCGCCTTCTCATAGCCTCGAAGTGCCCGCTCGTACATAGCCTCGGCATCGCTAAGCCGTCCCTGAGTATTATAGAGGTTGCCGAGATTGTTGACCGTGTTTAGCGTCGACGTGTGTTCCCGTCCCAGAGCCTTCTCGTAACCTCGGAGTGCCCGCTCGTACATAGCTTCGGCGTCGCTGAGCCGGCCCTGATATAAGAAGAGATTGCCTAGGGCGTGCAGAATCCACTCGTCCCCTTCCATAATCGATATTCCTTCCATCACCACCATCTGCAAACAACGATCGGCATGTTGTATCAGCCGCCGTTGTACCAACCCAGTATCCGCACTCCGTGTCCATCGGCACATGCAACCCCACGCACCTCATCGCCAGCTGCGCCATTTCGATATCCCTCACCTCGTTCAGCACGTGTACCGTCCATGCGTGTACACAGCCATGCATGCCGTACCCACGCGACTCCGTCCCCAGTCCATTCGACGACGTGTCCGCTTCGACCAGCCCGTAGTCGCACAGCACTCGAATCGCCTCTGTAAAGTTGAGCACGCCCCCCGTCAGTTCTCGAAACCATTGCGGCCCACTCAAGCGGCCCCTGAGCAGCAGCTCAAACCACAGATCCTCGTTGCCGAAGTACACCCAGAGCCGCAGTAGCCTCGCCGACGTCGTGTTCTGCTGCTCTATCTGCGCGTACGAGATGTCCCATGTAGAGTACAGGGCCAGGTTTTCATACGAGAGGAGCCCTGGGGTAGTCTTCTGCAGGCGGAGCCACGACTTTCGGTACATCTCGAGGTATTCGGCGAAAGTCGTCGCCACGTTATCGAGATAGGCGCCAGCGGTCGAGAGGGCAAGCGGCAGTCCGTCGAGTTCCCACGCAAGTTGAACTGCAGCGGCATCTACAGACCACATTTAGTCCCGTTTCACATTCCATTCACGTCTTGTTCATGGCCGTTACATACCCTTGCGTAGATCGTGTCTGTTCGAGGAGTAAGCCAGAATCTCAAGGCTGTCCTCAAGGTCTTTCAGCTTCCCAATCGGGATGCGATGGCCGACCGTGACTCTGGATGACCGCGTCGTGATGACGATAGCGCCGTGATGAGCATCGGGAAGAAACGGCCGGATGTCGTACCCTTTGGCGACGTTCGCATCTCTATCGCCCTCCAATCCCCCGCCCTGCCCCTCGTTTGGCCCACCGTCTCCACCTCCGCCTAGCCTCGGATTGTCGTAATTGTCGTAGATAACCAGCCAGCGGTCGTTCTTGTCGCTGTCGAGCCACCACTTGACGGCCTGTACTGCTTCGTTGAGGTCGCGGCTCTCTACCGCATTCCTTACATAGACGACCGACGGATGTTCGCGTAAAATGCGGTCGGCGGCTCTCGCGAATCCCTGCCTCAGCGACGTCTCGTCTCTGGCATTCAGCCAGAAGACGGCTGAATAGTCTTCCCGGTGTCGTTTGGCGTAAGCCGCGACCAATTGGGTCTTGCCCATCCCTCCCACCCCATGTATCACGGCGGTCCGCCTGCCGCGGCCTTCGTCATCTGCGGGGTCATCGCCTGACACCCCACCAAAAAAGACCTTCAATATCCACTTGATCTACCAGGTACTTCCGACAGGAATGAGTCACAAAGCTTCCCTCGTCATCGGTACAATGAGGAAAGCGATTTATGGCTGAACCGTGATCGGTGTGCTGGTAGCATCAACATTCCCACAGCTAGTGCCAAGACCGGACAGTGACTGTAAAGCACAGTAGAAATGTGCGATGTAAAGAGTGCATTGTGGAGCTTATCGACGCAGCGAGTGGGACCCACCAACAACCCCGCGTGCAGCCATCTGCCTGTCAATCACCCTCACTTTCCAGCTTGTGCGGCTTTTCGAGTCCTGTCTAGATTTTCGTTCGTCTACTGCATCCCATCCCTGAGCAACAGAGTCGACGAGAATTTATCATTATGGAATCACCAACTTCCATAGCATCACCCGAGCTTGCCCGGGTCGTTTGGGCGTCTCATATCCTGTCCTATATGAATCCTTATACTGAGACTATTTCAAACAAAGACCACCTACAGAAGACGTGCGCAGGTTTACCCCTAGATGCGGACAGTGATGAGGAGGCAGATTCTGACGAAGACGTCGATGCCGAAATATTAACGCAAGACACGGATCTTTTGACGCCACATGACACCAATGTTCGCAAAAAGTTCCTTAACGGCGTAGCTGAGCTTCTCTCCCACTCAAAGGGCGGTGCGACCGTCACCGCGGCAGCTCTGAGGGAAAGCGAGGATTTGGTCGAGGTGGATTTGTCGCGAAATGCCGGATTCCGAACAGATGATGAGGAGTATTTGTCTTCACTGACAGGATTCCTGGCCGCCGGGAGCAGTGGTGAGTAGCGTGTCTATGCTTTTTTCGCCTTGATATCTCGGGACTAAATCAGCCAAAAGTCGACGCAGAGGCCAGGCGAGACGAGACCATACAATTCTTACACTCTTTTATCGCCAAGACCATCGACTACAATGCGAGCAGACTCGACTCTTGTATTCAAAAGACACAATGCTTGGTAAAGCGGGTGCTCATTCCTCTCCCTGTCCCAGAACGCCTAGCGTCTGGGCCGGAACGGCCTTGTCTTCTGGGGTGTTGCGCCGCAGCAGGGATATCAACTCCAGCCGCTGTACAATCATTATTCTGGAAGATCCGTTCCTTCAATATGTTGGAAAGGGACAGCAGTCGAGCCCGTACCGACCGGCGAGAGATGGTAGCTTTGGCAAGTGGTGCAATTCGTTCCCCTGACAGTGCACGGATACAACTCGGGTCACTTGCGCCCTCCGTGGATTCGAGCAAGCTTCTCTTGTGGTGGAAACAATTGGCGCGACCGGTTACAATTCTCCGGACACTGGTCACCATCACGCAGCTGTTGCCCAACTTTCGCACAATCCGATTCATCCCCCTGAAGGTGCCGCCTCTTATCAAACTAGGAAGTCATCAGATCCCCTCAATCGCCGAAGCCTGGCAAAATCTCGGCCTCCCCTGCAGCTTGAACGCTTTTATTCCGGCCTCAGCAAGCCGAAAAACTCGCTACTTCAGAGATGACTGTTCCCGTCAACTTCACAACCATTGCGAAATCCAGCTTCTCATGCGATACGAAGCAGACCCTTCATTGGCACCCACATTGGCATACTTCGGTTGCAGCAAGAAGGCGTGTTTCCTCTGCGATGAATTCATCGCGCTGTCACCCTTGAAGCCCGGTGTTCGAGGCAGACATGGAGTTTGCCATCCGAATTGGGCTGTATCTGCCTTGCCCCCGGGATCCGGTATTACGGCACGCGATAGACTGAACAAGCTGTGTAACGTTATCAGGAGACAGATCCAATTGCTCCTACAGCCCGGGCCTCGGTCACCGCCTAATATCGTATACCAGTCATCCGCTGTTTCGGACCTGAAAACGGCCGACATGATACATCTAACGCATAGGGCTGCTGATCGAGAAACGGTCGAGAAAGCCGCCAAGGAGTATCGGGAAAAGATGCAGATTTTGTAATGCCAACTTGAGACTCCTTAGCCCCAGTTTCATGCTGCTAACCCTTTGATTTTGCCCAGGCTCGACCCCAGGTCTCAGAGACCGCAGGAAATCTACTGTCGAGACATACGCACACTTTGCGTCATGTGTCAATGGCCTGGCCGACGGTGTTGCGGTTGCTTTGCAATCTCTTACTGTTCCAAGAGATGCCAGACAATTGACTGGCCATCTCACAAGATACTGTGTCGCAAGTTCGTTCCCTTCCTGGAGGCCCGCCCGTCAGAGGACTTTCGGGTAGGAATCTACTTCCCAAGAGACCAGGGCTCGCCGCGGCTCGTTTGGGTTCCCTTTGAGCATACAGAAGGACCGATGTACCAGCCCTTTTTTGACCATTTTCTTGGCTCACTACCTTTTCCGGAAAGACTACTCTGGACTCTCCCTTTCAGGACGAACAAACGGCGGGGAATCGACTTAGGATATTGGATGACGATCTACTACGCCGACTACGATAAGACCATCAACAAATCTGTGCACAGAGCCGTGGAAGCGTGTATCGGCATGACTGTCCCAAAAACCACTTACGGCAACTACGTCGTCATGAACGGGCCCTCACACCGTGGCGCCGCTGAACACAGCGACATGACACTTATGGACTTCCGGTACACGCTCGACTTCTTCAGTACGTATTTCGACGACACGATCCATGACATTCCTAGCCAAAATTCGGTCCGAGCTCTCAAAATCTGCAGCCCACTTGAGCATGAGCTCTACGGACGGGAGACCTTTGCTTCGGTTTGGGTGGATAGGGATTTTAACGGGAGCATGAGCGATGTCTCGGATCTGTCTATGGCGCTAATAGGTTTTGAGATCAGAGTGTGCCAAGTGAGGGAGACGGAGATGGAGCGCCAAAGTGATGCCGAGGCCGAAGGTGGTAACTGGGAGAATCCATATGCCAAGGCGCTTATGCTTGAAATAGATCCATTTGAAGAGCGATGGGGTATATCCGACAACTGGAATACGAAGGGAAGTGCGATTCTCTTGCGGGAGGATCGCCAGAATCTAGATACGGAGCTGGTGGAGGTAATGTGCCGGTACTGTGTTGAGGTACTACAACCCCTGTTTGAGAAATCTCGCAATGGGGAGGTCTCCCGTTCCGAAGTTCTCGCAGAGATCTCAAAAGAGAAATTGACTGCATGGGTGAATAAAGAGGGGGATAGACGGAGAGAAGGTGGTCAAACGATCATTAGAACTTGAGTTTGTTCAAGGGACGGTTAACTATGTGATATATTCAGACTGGTATTGTTATCCCTCGCAACCGTCTTCCTTGAAGATTCTAAACCCTTCCATGTGAACTCTAAACATCGCCTACCGAAAATCTTTCATAGCGTTCAGTGCCGAGGGCAGCAGGTAGTTAGACATGTTGCCAATGTGAGGAGCGGAATAACAGGGGGCGGTGCACGAACATGTCGCCACTCCGAAATGGGAGAGGAGCTCGGTCATACACAAATGGGAGTCAATCGCGAGGTGCGATTATGGATGTTATCGCAGTTGTATCAAGGGTCGTAAGTCCGAGGGCATGGGCAAAAAAGTCCCTGGCCACCATGCCCCTTCCGGTTTGAGGTTGGCAGCCTTTCTGACATGGCTGCTGCAGCTTCGGGATGGGCAAGAGTGTTCGGGGGAAAAAAGGGTAAGGGAGGAAAAGGACAAAGACTTGGGTTGGGGTCCTGTGGGGTGGTGATGCGGGGTCAGGCGGTGGCAGTGATGCAGTATCCAGACAGGTGTGGTGAGGTGTGGGTGACTCGCGGACGGATGGGCAGCAGCGGCGGGTGAAGCCAAAGAATGCATCCGCAGGGCCGGGTGCCGAGTGCACGACCGGACGTGATTCCCAGAGCCAGGTAACTCGCAATGGCACCGTTTCTTCTATCCCCACCTGCTTCTAGGGCTGACGGCAATACGGATGATATTTGAAAGGAATGTTGGAGGTTAGTAGTAGTTGTCTGGGATACAGAATAGGGAGATGTCAACCGTGGGTGGATTGCTTGGTGGTTGGAAAGCTAAGCTTCTGGAGAGGAAACTGGGGCAAGGAAGGCACGTGGTCCCGCGGTCTATCGCGACACTTCGAGCAATCAGGAGGCACGATCAGGACCCACAGCGACTTGTCAAGATTCGACGAGTTGCTGTGGGTCTTTGGCACTAACCCAAACGAAGGCTCGTTGGGTTGGCACAAGGCTGTCCCAACAACACGTCCACCCCGCAACAGGTTGGCTTGAGCGTGAGGACGCAAGTCATCAACACCGCTCGGAGACTTATGACGACTTCACGACAGCACTAGCCGATACTCTGCGCAACATCAGTCATGGCTGAGCAGGATGCAAGGACGCTCCTAGACGCAGCCCATCGATCGCCGACACTAGATGGATGGATTTTATTTCGCCCGGAGGCCTAAAGGGCCTTGGCACGCTAGCTACATCCGGATCATCCCATTTTTGCCTTGGTCTCGTACAAGCCCCTACGGTTCTCTTCCATCAACGCCACCCCATGCCTCTTTTCAGTTGTGAGCAGATCGACTTGGAGGCCGCGTTCCCCAAGTGTTCAGCGTCCTATCTTCAGCAGCTAAAGCGGGACCTGCTGGTTGGGCCTGTGCGGTGTTCGTTAGGCTCCTTCACTGCGGTTGGCTCGGTCCTGGCTCGTCGTCCGGGTCCAGCCTCCCCGTTGCCATCGCATATTTGATCGCCGCGCGGACCGCTTTCATGTCTGGTGACCACTGCTTCGGATCTGATGGTGCTTTCCCTCCCAAATAGAACGAGAGGCTCCTTCGTCTTGTTGTTGTGCACTGTAGCATGTCTTCCCTCAACGCTGTCCATCTCACGCATCGCAGCAGGAAGTGTTTCACTGTTTCCCTTGCGTGTCCGCAGGCACATCGATCGGATTCGACCGCTCCTATCCTGCCTAGGAAGCGGTTCAACCTTGTCATTCCTGTGCGGAGTTGCGCTAACACACTGGCCTCTCTTCGCTTCGGCTTGTCATAAAGGTCGCGAGTGTGCTTGCCTGGCAGCGCTGTGTCCATGGCCTTTGAGAACTTGCCCACGTTCTCTGGGAGTGCTCCCCCTTGTTGATATCTGGTTATTGCGAGCCTGATCGTTGTCGACTTTGCCTGGTGTGGTCGGCAGTCTGGTGCTGGTCCTTGCTTCGTCGCTCTCTGTGCTGCCGCTTTTGCCTCTGCTCCCAGCGTGAAGTCGCTTTCCGCTGGAATCCACACGAAGTTGACCGAGTTCCCTCTTTGCTTTAGTAGTTTCGCCGACTGGTAGATTTGACGTCGTGGTGGTTTGATGGCTGCAAGCGCCGACAGGTTCTGGAGATGACGGTGACGTGCCTGTGGGAGATGCTAGGCGGTGTGTTCTTTAAAGGGGGGAAACCTGGGGAGCCATTTCTAGCTCCAGTCAAGACAGCACTTCGCTGCAATGGCTCTCGGGTGAGCTAATGCAAGCTACGGCCTAAGCTTGTGCTCTAGGCTTCTCTGTAGATAAATACCCTACTCTCCTCCTTCCAACCGCCAGCTCACTGCTTCTTACAGTGCGATATCTTTTGATCTGTCCATCCGGTCAGCTCAATTCAGCCAAAGCAGTCATTACGTATCACAAAGTATTAGAACTCTACAGATCATCCGTGTTTCCTGCTATCTATTATTCGAGGACATACACCACATTCCGAGGCCAGGTCGACTACACAACACAATGGCAAAAAGATTCAAAGTTTTCCTGGATGTTAAAGGAGACGGGTGGACAGACCGCAGGGCCGAGATCATGGTCCCAATTGGAATGCTACCACTCCTTCCACCTGTTGATATCGACGCGCTTGAAAGAACGACAAACGAGAGAAGGATATTTGACTTGGCAAAACCTGCATTAGACATAGTTCGAATGGTCATTGGTGAGGAGCTCAAGCCCGGATCTCGGTTGCAGTGGCAATACGAGAAGAATTCTTATGAGATGGATTGGTACAATGGAAAGGCTACACAGATTACGTTCTGTATATCGCGGTGCGTGTTAGAGGGCTCGGAAAGACTCATATTCATGGAGGTGGAGTGTCTCAAACTTACTCGTGGCACCTTGAATTGTAAGGCGACATACAAGGACGAGCGCCAGTTATACCACATATGCAAACCGGCAATTTAGCTAGGCTTTGAGGCCTTGATTGTCTCGTTGCAACCAAGTCAATGCAAAGTGCTCGTCAGATGCTTTCACAGGGAGTTGCATGCGACCATGGTTTCGGATACATACTTGCCCATCACCGTGGAACGCATTTGGGTCGCCGTGGACCAAGAGCTCTGCGTTTCTCGCTATCTACACATATAATTAGCGCAATACTAAGTTTCTTATATATCACCGACAGACCAGTATGTTGAGTGCCTTTGTGCAGTCCATAGGCATCCAGTCTGCCTTCTGACTGACCCCGGATTTGCGAGGTCGTTCATCCCGGGCTTTAAGGAAGGCAGCCCGAACGTCGTTCCATGGATAGGAAAGGAGGGGACCGAAACCCCTCTAAAAAAAACCTCTGAGGTGCCCGGAAAGAAGCCTTCCAGCACATGTGCTTCAACTTCAAAGGCAGATGCTGCCTTTCGTAGAGAGGTCTGGCGCCGGGCTGTCAGGAGCCAGTTTTAGAGGCAGACGACGTGCCCGATACGTCCACCGATAGTTCAAGATCATGCTCTAAGTGCTGCTTCTCGAGCGCAGCCATCGGGCAGGGGCGGGCACAGTACTACAGATTACAAGGATCATATCTGGCAATTTTGCTCTTGGTCGAGCCAGAAACGGCTTTGCAGGGAATAATCCCTGCCTTTGCTGGAGCCGGAAACGGCTCCTCCCTCAAGAGTTTTTCTGGGCAAGGATGGTGATTGCCTGCCAGCGCAACGATTTAGCCTTGGGCGAGAGCCAGAAATGGCTCCTGGGAGTATTCTAGTCCCACACCCCAAGTTTCTCGGGGCAGCAGAATGGAGGCACCGCGCGAGGGAGCAACCATCAATGGCATACAGGCGAGGACGGCGAGAAATACGGCGAAAAAGACGGCGAGAAGAACAGTGAGAAATTCAAACACTGCAAGACCAACGGAAGAGCAAACCGAGGCGTGGGCAAGAGGAGACGAGAAAGAGTTGCCATTGCGGGTCAAGCCCGCCGGGTGGATTAGCAGAGTTGAAGGGGCGAAATCTGGGGAGCCATTTCTGGCTTCAGCCAAGACAGCAGTGCCCTGTAGTAACCCATCGCTGTCCAGGCGAAACGCCTGCGCTGCGAGAATTTTAGCCAGTCATCCCTGTTGTTGCCAGTAGCCGTCATCTCGATCAACGAGCACAGACAGCTTGACCTCCAGGAATGGGTTACTGGACTCGAAGCAGCGTTCACCACGACGACCAACAACAAATTCTCGTACTACGCAAGTACGGAGAAGACCACCCAGATTCCGGGCTATCGCTTTCACGATTACAGACTTGAGGCAGAGTGCCTTCGCAACTGCCCGCCGGTCCCAGGTATTACTGCCCACCAGATACGAATAGTACCAATCCGTCTACCTCGTCCCGGACTGCTCGTTGATCTCATCCATATAGATACACATGGCCACCATCAGGGCCGGGTCGACACCAGGCGCAACCGTGACAAGATAATTCTGCCTGCCAGGCATGGCCTCCTTCATGACCTTTTTCAATGTCGCGTCTTGTACGTAGCGCTCGATGCGGCCGGCGACTGTGCCGCTCGACTTATCGGTGACGTTGATCGAGAGGCCTGACCGGTTGCCCTTCATGATGAGCTTGACAGGGGTGCCGCTAATTGTAGTGAATTTGCCCTGAGCTTTGAAACGAAAGACTAAGGTAGGTATAACACATACAGATGGACGTCAGTTATAGCAGTGAAATGAGTTTCTGTGACAGGGAAAGCTAAACCTAACACTCACGGGAAAACTTCTTTTTGAGACGCATGTGCTCCTTCTTGCTGTTCTTTTCCACTACGGCGAAGGTGGTCGCTTGGTGGGGGAAGCCCTTCTGGATGAAGTCGAAGACGATATTGCCTTGAGCATCCTTGACGTGCTTGCGGGCATTCCATACTATCCTGCCCGCTTCTGGGACGACACTCATCCATCGTAGCCCGTCGAGGGTCGTGACGTCGAACTTGTCGCCCTGCTCCTTGACGAAGAAGGTCTGGGTCTCGCTGGCGACCTTGTTCTTGAAGATAGCCAGTTGCTGGGGCACGGGTCGGAGTTGAGCAGACGCCATTCTCTCTTAATGATTGATGCCGAGCCGAAGGGCAATCGGAGGCTGTGATAGGAGTACCGGTTGGGAGGGGGTTCAAGGTTCGGATACTGTCTAATGTTGCAATGGATTCTTGAGGGGCAAGGAGCGTGGTTATAAGAGTTAGTGTAGCGGTCAGCGGTTTGGATGATATCTCGGGGCGGTCCTTCAGACCCCCAGCCAGGAGAGCCGCCGTTCTAGTGGTCTTCTGACAGAGGGCCATAAGGTTATTTTCGTTTCTTGAGATCAAATTCGGATGCTCGCTTTGTTTCAGATGGTATGGAGGGGGCCAACAACTGATTCCGGCTCAACGCCGCCCCGCACCCTCCTTGTGCCGCTTCCTTGTCTGCAGTGGTGACAGCCTGGCAGGTCTCAGCCATTCCCTGCAGCATATTCGGTACTCATCGGTCTGAAACCAGGAGGGGCCCAACCCGTAGCAGGCCAAGTGGGCGGCCCTGCGCCCAGGTAACTGCATTCTCATTCTTAGCACCTACCGTTCCCCTACACCATCCATACATGTGCCTGGCACTTGAAGAATATCGATTGGGACGAAACGGGAGAGTTTCTCGGTCTGATCTCGGCTTAAGACAGTCCTGGGCTCGATAAGTGACACCCAGACATGCAGTCCATGTCTGAGCCCCAGCTATTCCTTGCCTGACCAGCACATGTCATTATTGCCCACCGGGGGTGATGGATTGGATATTCGATACACGTACGTACGGGATGCGGATCCAGTTTACGACTGGACGAACGGCAACTGGAGAACTTTTAGTAACATCCTCACATACCCAATCCACAACAGACAATGACGGAGATGCCTTGGCGTTCATTGTGGGGATGGTAGAAAGCATCGACGTTGAACCGGTCCGCGGGGATATCAGAGAGGGCACTTCTGCCCTCGGCCATCATGTCCCACAGCTTCTTGGGGTTCTCAGCATCGCCGGGGAAGCGGCCGGAAATGCCCACGATGGCGATCGGGAGGACAGCCTCGTCGGGAGTCGATGGAACAGGGCAGATCCCGGACGACTACCGAGGACACCCAGCATTTGAAGCCAAACACATAGAAGGGTTGCCAGAGCATAGTCCATAGGACCATGAGATCAAGCTCAAGGAAGGTGCCCAGTTGAAGTTCTTCAAGGTGTACCACACCAACGAGAAGCAAGACGCGGAGCCCAAAAGGTACCTCAAGGAGAATCTCAAGAGAGGATACATCCGACAATCAACATCACCGGCGGGCTACCCGGTCCTGTTTGTTCCTAAAAAGGACGGGAAGCTTCGCATATGCGTGGACTACCGACAGCTGAACGATCACACAGTCAAGAACCGGTACCCCTTGCCCTTGATCTCCAAACTCAGGAGTCAGCTGCAGATTGAGGGCAAGGTGATTTACATCCCAGCCGATCATCATGGACTCGGAACATAGGGCTAGTATTGATATTAATCTAATGACGCCAATTTGCGAGTCACCTCCTGGTATCGTTCGTGCTGAACGCCAAACACAGCTTTGATGCCGCTTTGACAACGCAGATAGAACACCCTAATTACACATTGCTTTGAGGGCTTGTCGCGCTGAGCCCTCCGGGACGACTGTGCATATAAACAACTACCGCGCTGTTGATGTAGACAGACATTAGAGATGCCGTAGTGCCATTGCTGCCTCCAAGCCCCTGGACGCTGCCCTCCAAATGTGTTCTTTATACTTTAGTTTCGCATCTATCACCACGCCAAGATTCTCGACGTAGCCCTGGGGTTCAATAGTCCGTCCTTTAATTTTGAATGGTTGTGAGTCGGTCTTGTAGGTTTTGCGAGTGATTGTTACAGTATTATCGTTCATATGGATTAGGGTATTCGACCAAGTCGTTGGGAGGGTGTCAGGAAAGCGCTAGTCGGAGAAGGCAGTCTTTTTCGTTCGCGATACCTGTTAGATTGCGCTCATTTTCTCAGGTCCTGCGCCCCTATATAATACCTGTCAACCTATCACTAGATTGTTGGTGACTGTATGGCCCCATATAATAGCCGCTTGACCCTCGTCGAAAGTGTATCCTTCACGCAAATGTATAGTGATATGTTGAAACGGCTTACAGAAGTCATAGGGAATTTGTGAGAGACAAGTGGCATCAAGGCGAGGCACTGGGGCACTGCAAATGCCGACTCAATTCTGCTAATCGAAAGCTAAGGAGGAAAGGAGGAGAAGATACAGGATGCGCGTCTGTCGCGTCAGAAAACGGAGTGGTGGCCCTCCAGACCGCCAATTAGAATCGAACCCTAATCCATGGGTAATCGCCAGGTAGACGGGCACCATCCGTCACAGAATTGTGAAGACGTAGGTAGCTGAGTCGTCGTAGCGCGAGCTCTCTAGCGAGTTGGTTATACATTGACGTCTGACCGGGACAACGCAAAACGGGTTCTCGGGAGCACTTAAGAATGCCATTGTAGAGAGTATAGCTAGTAGCGCGGCGCGGTTGGCAGTTCTTATTTGTAGTTATGTATTGTACCTACCGCCTAGCGTCTAGACTTCAGGCCACTGATTTAGGTTGCCGGAAACCAAATGCTATAGAGGGACCAAACTTAGATCGTAAGTCAAGGCCAGCTCTAGCTTGCGCTCTTGGGATTGCTCTTGGAGCTTACCGCTTTTGATTCCCAATCAGGCAGCCTGTAAACCTCTAGAGTGGGCTCCTACGTCCTGATACCGCTAGCTTGTAGTTTTGTAGTGAGGAATCAGGTGATATTATATGTCACGGCGATTGCGCCGTGCCTGCCAGGACCCATGGGTGGAACCCGGCATGTGGAAAGCACGGGCCCCTGTGGGTTGAGGATTCTGCACCTCGCTGCCGCGAGATCTGTTCGTAGCTCCTCGAGCTACGTCTTGACAATCAAGCCTGCCCGTACCTGACGGAATAGAGCCCAGATTGTAGCTTAGCACGAATACAACTGCCATTGGACTATCAGCCTGTCCCGCCCGTGACATTATAGATAGGTTGCGTTAGAAGCCGATAAAGTACATTTTCTAACATTGGTGAGTATCTTGTCTATATCGAGGCTTTATATAGAAGTCACGGCATTACCTCTAGAGCTCTGAGATATCTATAGACCGTTTAGTTACAGTATCTACCTAAATTTAGCACTCTATAAACGGCGCGTTGAACTTGAAGTCGGACCCTGCTAATCAGCTAAAGACAGTCGTGAAGCATCAAAGAACCGTTATATTTGGCAGGTGATCAGGAAGGGCAGTTCTGGGGTAACTAGTGGCTTGGCATCAGGTGTAACGGGCTGGGCGCGGTGCGAGCCTCGGCGACTCTCGGCAAATACCAAGACCCCGGATGAGGCTATTCCCACTCGCCCCACAGCACACCGAACCTTCTAGCAACGCGCTCAGACCAGCGCGCCGACGAGGATAAGTATGCTTGCGAGCTACCAGAGTCTGTCGTCTCACCTTTTCTTCTCCAAGTTCAGTGTACTCGTAGAGTCGTCATCAGCTAGTTGCCATATACTACCTGAGACCGTTACATCAGGATTCTCAGGATCAGGGAAATGCCGGCAACTGTTTTTGAATAAGGAGACACAGACATCATCATCAATTGAGTTGTTGCCCATCTTTTGGTACCCAATTGCTGCGGTACGGTAAATTCTGGGCTGTTGGCTTTCCAACCACCCACAGTCCTGAGCTTCAGTGGATTAGGGCATTCACTGCACAGAGTACCTGTTAGCGCCAAGGACAGTATGGTTTACGGAGTCTTCTCTCAATGCCAGGGCACCTGGTTACCCCCATCCCCGCTCCCCTTCGTATGCGGATAACGCCCTTCACCTATCAAAACTTTGGTCGGGTCCTTGCCCTTATATGACCCCCCTTCGCGCTTACGTAGGTTTGTCGCCAAATCACGGACCTTATATGGCAACGATCCGTCAAACCTACACTTCCTGCCACTGGCGTTATACGGTAGGTGTCCGATGTCACCTGGCCTCCCTCCGGATTTGGTATATGCCCTCGACCCAGGGGTGCCGGGGCCCTCCCTACCGCCGTCAATCACGATATCGCTCCGTTCGATCTTCTCAGCGGTCTGCCCGTCCCCGGAATTGGCTTCGCTGGGCTTCTCTAGGATTATGTGCATGGTATTGTCACGATCTTGATCGCAGGATCCTTTGGGGTCGGGCTCAATCAACATGCTTGGTGGGCTCTCCCATGTGTCACCGGGGAGCGGATAGGCCAGCGGGTCCTCCAAGGGCTTCTCCTTGTGTGTGGTGGCGAGGGACTGGCGCTTCGAAGACGATGGCCGCTCTGGCTCTGGCGGCGCGTTCCAGTTGACCGTTATCGCCAGGTCCTTCACTTAATTGCAGCACGAATAGGTATGGATCATTGCAGACCAATTAAATAGGGAGAGTTACGAATTTCTCTCCAGAGAGGGGCTCGTCTCACCCCTGGCGGGCCACTAGCCCCTTAGTTGCGATCCTCATCCGCTTGCCAAATATCCACAGAGGCACAGTGGCCAAGCCAAAAAGACCCATCAACATGCCGAAGATTCCGAAAGCCTCCCCGTACCTGTCTTATTTAAATTATTACCTTTCATATTTACTATATCTTTTAGTATTATAGCCTTAACTTAGAAGCTAGGCTGTTGGAGCCTGAGAGGGCGGGGGCTGCTGGGGCTGGGGCTGGAGCAGAGGCTGGGCGGCCGCGGGAGACGTCGTTGCGGCAGCCGGTGCAAGGGCCTGACGGAGAAGAAGTGGGAACTTGGGATGGTTATGGGAATGGACATGGGCATGGGCCAGGAGGTGCGAGTGAGATGGCCGTGCCGAATGAGGGCGAGCAGCTGGATCGCGTGTTTGGGGCTCTGCAGGCCAAGGCCCGGACCGCTCAATCACCTCTGAAGTACCTCAGCATATCTCCACACCCCACGCCATTTCCCCGCATTTCTCCTTATAAGTTCAACAAGCCAGACGTGAATACCGGTGCATATCCGCCAAAGCCAAGGAAGTTGAGGGCTCGCAAAATCCCCCTATACGAGTCGGTATCATCCTTGAATTTGTCGTACACAACTCTGATTTGGACTTTGGTTGCCTCCTTAAGATTGTCATATTCGTGGAACGAAATGACAATCTCGCCGGCGGCTGTTTTCGTCAGAACAGGTCTTGGAGCCGTGGTTTCGTTCCCGAATACTTGGGGTGCGGTAGTCGCGTTTGCGGAAGTACCACCTCTATAGACGGAGAAGGCCATGCTGCTGAGTGGTGATTGTTGAACGAGTCTCGGTTTGGTTTTCATGAAAGAGGAAGAGAAGCGGGATGGAGAAGAGAGAATGGGAGAAAAAGAGAGAATGGGGAAGAACGCCATTTATAGATGTTCAGCGAGGATAGGGCTATAGTCGCAAGTTCGGCATCTGGCCTTACACCTCTGGCTATACTTTCGCATATGGATTGGTCAGAGACAACTGAACTCAGCTCGTGAGTTGAATGGCGCTACCTCTGCTAGAGACCGAGATGGCGCATCGTCGTGGTGCAAGAAATAAGTCCTGCTCAGAAGTCAGGTTTGCTGATCACGCCACACCCTGGCAGAGGCAGGTAGGTCGGCCCAGCACCAAAGTTCCAATCCGAGCACGAGAACCATTTCTGGCGCCGCCGGCAGCTGGGCCTGCATTTGGAGGTTATGACGAGGAGCAGTAATAGCCAAAAATGACTTTTCGCCTGAGCAGATGGTTGTCTCCTTGGGTGCAGCGAGAAATGACTCCTCGCAGGCACAAGATGGGCTGTAATCACAACACAAGCCAATCATTCAGTAGCCAACAAGAGCGTTGTATGTGGAATGCCATGTAGCTGTTCCCAGAAACCACGTATTGCTATCATGCTATGAGAGGGCCGTTCTGCGCTAGACTCAGTCCACTCCCTGGACTTCAGTGTGTTTTTCGTTCCATAGAGCTGCCGCAGCTTAAATGGCTTTTTTAGCGGCCATGTAGAAACCGACGCTGTACCTTCGCTTTCACTTTATTCTGTATTGTGCTTATGGCAGGATCTGGTTGCCCTTGCGCTATGTTCAAAGTGGGACTAGAAGTTCTGCCGTTACTAACGTTTAGCCGAATTAGCCGAAACGCTGCACGCCCCTCTGTTGGTTTAAAAACGGAGGTGATAGCCTAACACTGCTCCATTCATAGAATCACACCGCTGCTTATACCCAAAGTTTATTTTCTAACATTGGCATATCTCATCTGACCATGTAACAAACTAACCACGCCGAACCGAGATACCTGTCTAGAATATCAAAATAGAATACTCACCTAATACAGAGTTGAAGCGCTAGTACAGTACAGTCACTAGCGAAATCTGCTTCCGCCTTTTATTTTCTGGTTTGCGTCTTTCGTTGATGAGAGGTCTCTTGCAGGTGGCTAAGGATGCACTTCCCGGGTACCATCCCCTTTCCCAAATATAAATTCTCAGGTGCTCGGACGTATAAGATGCTCGACCTTCAGAACGTATATTCTCTCTAACCAGGCTTCCCTCCATATCACTAGCAGCTTCTGAAATCCAGCAAGCCGTGCCGTTCACCCACAGAAAGAATGGAGTTCCCCTGCCCCAACAAGCAAATCCTTTTCAGCAGCCCTGTGCTGGCAAGCCCAGAGCTTTCTGGGATCCCCGGAGGCCCCTTCCAAGGAACTCTCCCACATGCGGCCCCTCTATCGGATGCACAGGATCGTCGATATATCGAGCCCGAAGATCTACCGAATTATAGTGATAGCGAGTCCGATTATAGCGAATTGAATAGCGGCTGGGACACCGTTCCTTCCCCGCTAATTGGAGAGCTCAGACATGGCAACACCAAAGCCCAACGCAACAACATTACCGGTATATGTATGCCACCTTCCTACCTTTGGGGTAACCAGTTGTGCTAACACGCCTGAGCAGACGGGGGTGTCAATGCAATTGCCGGTGGCAGTGACAATGAGAGTGATGCAAGCATACCAATGCTGTCGGTCGATGACAGCATTAGCCATCCTGAGCTGGTCATCACCAAGCCACCTGCACAGCCATCCACCAGCCGAGATCGCATTGACCTACTGTCGTCACGAGATTTCACACATCCCGGAACGGGCTACCGCAGAAGAAAGAACCGAGGGTCCATCCTTCCAGCCAAGCAACGCCGCGTAGCAAAACAAAGCAGCACACTGTCTAAAAGGGGCGAGAAGAGTGCAGTACAACGCACGTCAACTTCGACTTCAAAAAGGGCTGGATACACGGCAGAAGAAGATGCAAAGATCCACCGGCTGAAGGAACAAGGACTGTCCTGGCTCGAGATCACTGAGTATTTTCCAGGACGTACTCCTGGGGCCATTAGGATGAGGTATCACAACAAGCTCAAGCCCACCTCCTCCCGAAGCGAAACTCAGAAATTGTGTGATTATCCTCAGACACGTTCAGTAGTTGACAATGCTAGTGACGAAGAGTGGGAGGTAGAAGAGATTTGTGATCATAGAAAGCTGGATGACGGCAGCTTGCAACTCCTTGTGAAGTGGAAAGGCGGAGAGGAGACATGGGAACCTTACGAGAATGTGGAAGAGACGGAGGCGCTTGATGAGTATGAGCGCCGTCATGGTCTGGTTATTGTAGATATTGTTTAAACCTTTGCCTCGAATACAAATTGAAACCTATTTCCATGATTGCATCACTAGGATGTGCCGCTTAGGTTTGAGACAACTAAGAAGTTCGGCGGACTAGAGAGGCTAGTCAGGACCTCCTATGTGAGAGATTTAGTAGAAGATATTTCCGGCTCCTTACAATTTAGAGAAGGTCAAGCTGCTAAGGAACGTTGGCAGACGAAGGCAGTGGGAAGGGAACAACCGTCAACGGCAGTTCTCTAGCTCTCTGAAAATTCTGTCTCTTCATGGGACTGCGAGGTCCGACAATTCCCTGGGAACGAGTGCTACGGTTCAGCTCCACATTGCCAAGGACTGGTCCTCCTCTCCCCTATCCTGTTCCTTTTCTTCAACGCAGACCTGGTAGAGCGGAGGATTGGTAGTAACGGGGGGGGGGGCGATGCCTTCATTGATGATTTCACAGCCTGGGTTGCGGGTCCAACAGCAAAGAGTACTCACAAGGGCATTAAAACCATCATCAGCGATGCATTGGACTGGAAGAGGAGAAGCGGAGCGACATTTGAAGCAGAAAAGACGGCAGTCGCCCACTTTACCCGCAAGGCGTCCAAGGCGGACTCGGAGCCTCTCATCTTCAAGGGCC